GGGGGAAAGGGGTGGGGAAGGGGAGAGGGAGAGAGGGGGAGAGGGAGGGAATTGACAATAACAATTTTGGAGGTAGAGAACACTTACAGATAAACATTTAACCTATAAGTTGTCTGAGGATTAAAGTACTGTCTGAGAAATAAAATATGCCTTATGATGAATAGGTGTTCCCTATTCATCATTTCATTTCAGTGTAGAGAATTGAAAGGTAGTACTATATATTTCCGACAACTTTCATTTCTTTGTTCCAGGTAGGAGTAAATGGCGTATTTCAACCGCACCGTTCTATGGAAAAACTGAATCGACAAAAAAGTCCTGTCGCATTATCCGAGCGAATTTTCAAGGTTATTGCCCGTGTTTATATATCCAACACAAGTGGCCTGTAGTATTTCAGCGCCTTTGGAATAGAAACATGTTGCTCTGGATAGCCAACACAATGGTAAAAGATAAATATGAATTTTCGATATTTTATGCAGTTATTGGGTAGTTCTTTCAAAAAATATTCCTAACATTAATTTAATGAGTGATTTTCTTTGTTGGTTCTGTCAGATAAGAGATCAACTAGTGAAACAACACATTACTTTTTTAGACTAATAGCATTTTTTAGACTACTTAACGTCATGCTAGAAATATTTATAGAAATCGTTGTAGACATCCTACCGGAAGAATTGCCAGAAATTATCCTCGTAGCATATTCCTCACTTTCACATATTCACACTAAACGTATTTCTCATTAAAGAAGCAGGGACGTGCGGAGACCGATGTTAGCAAGCTTTGTAAATAACTTAGGTGGAACTTCGAGTTTATATTTGGAGGATACAAATGAAAATTCATTTAGTTGTATAAGTATGAAATGAAATCGTATTAAATTGTCATTATTATTATTATTATTATTATTATTATTATTATTATTATTATTATTATTATTGTTGTTGTTGTTATTGCGTATATTGAAGAAACCAGAGCCTCCCTTGCACACACACGCACCGCAGAAACCTTTTGGAGAAGTAACGGGCACTTATCAGCTGCGGGCATTCAACGCCTCTCCCCTGAAAAAAAGGCGGGGGGTGAAGAGCGCACGCTCGGCCACTAATGGTTAATAATGGCCACCAGTCGCTGGCCACTGATCACTTCTATCTACGCCCAGTCACCGCCGGCGTAATTTGAAACCCCTAATTGCCCTTGCATCAATGTTATTAGTACGAAAGTAACGAAAGCATCAATGTCAACAAATCAATCGGAAATTCCATTGTCGATATCGGAGATAAAAAGAAAAACACTTCAGTATTCAAAGGCTTGCGCAGTCTAAACAAATATCTACACAATTGCCAAAACATTTACACAATTGCAAGATGACCTGGAGAGCCTCTTCCCCGCGACAACAAGGAGGAAACAAAATGTTTTATTGCGTAAGGCGTCGGGGCCCCCTTTAAACATGTTGGGGAGGAGGGTGACCGTAGTTCCCGGTCCCTCTATGCGCACACCTCTGCCGTTATCGAATGTCTCCATGAATGGTCTCCATCGAGTTGATGACGCAGCGAGACTCAAAGAGGCCAGCGAGTGTCGCTCAGGGTGTGCGACGAGCGATCCACTAGTGCCGGCCACAGGTAGCGGAAATCCGCAACTTGTAGCCGGACGTGGCGGCAGCAGTGGCCGAGTGTGCGGGGCTCTGCTATAAACCGGATGCGAAGCGACCTCCGCAACCTGTCTTAGCAAGAGGAATAAACCTAGACCACAAATTGAAAATACTTCAAAAACAGACAAACCTGACATTACAATGGGTGGAAGAAAACCACTTGACTATTTCAGCGGAAAATCGCAGGCAATCTGTTACACCCGCCACAAACACAAACACACCAAACGTTTTACACCACCAAAACCAATTACACTTGGCGCACAAAAACTGGGACCTAAGGCAACTTACTTGGGCATCAGACGTGATCGAATGACGCGCTAGCATTTACATGTCAGGCTAACCCGATCAAAATTACATCAAAGAGTTCGACTCTCGACCTCTTTTGAGGGAACCTACACCCCCTTGGAACTTCGCTCGGCAGGTGTTGCCGGCCTGTGGCCACATACGCTGCGGCAACGTGGTGGACTGCACAGAAGTACAATGATACACTTGAGCTGGTACAGAACAAAGTTCTACGGATCATAGCAAGCCCTCCGTTTCGGAAACGATTGAAAGTCCTGAGAAAGAGACTCGAAAGAGACTCGTCCTTCACTCAATGCTTGAGACGGCTTTCGTTTAACGAAACCTACCAAGCCTTTCAAACCAACGAAGCTCCGGCAACGCTAAAACAATTAGCCAGATACGTCCTTACTATAGGACAAAGAAGGCAAGCACTCCCCTATGATATTCTGAGGGCGTAGTGCAACACAATAGCCGATTTGAATATTGACTAAGGTCCGACGCAAACCCACGCCAGCCACGTACACATAGTTGTAAAACGCGACATGCAAGCGAAGTGCAACACAAACTACAAAATCACACAAACCTTCGGCTAAGCCGTAAAAACTAGGAAAAAAGAAGAAAAAAAACATCTTGAAAATGAAAAGTTTATGAATTCGAGTGCAGAAAACGACCTTTCAGCCTCTCCCAATGTATTTGCTGTAGTTAAAAGGTAATGCAAGGTACAAGGTTACAAGGTAAAGCAAACATGCATTGTTCAACAAATGCTAAATGGTGCTGACTTGACTTCAGATGTTGGACTAGTATATCATGGGAAAATTTTCCACAAAATTCTTTCTTTGCGTCTAGTATGATTGATTTGTAAGATTCAAATTTAGTTCGATGGAGTAACGAAATGAATTCCAATTGTGAGAGATTTCCAAAGCTATTCTTAATGTGAAATATCACTCTATTATTTCAGAAAAAACTCCTGTTACTTTTCAACGGTGTAAGTTATTGCAATGCAGTTTTCACGGCACATGAAGGAATGGAACTAATTGATAGTGTATTTATTTATATATTATCAATTGTATTACGAGATAGTTGAGGTCACTTTGTTTTTCAAATCAAACTGTTCATATTTTTCGGTCTATCGTGACCAGCGTAAGAGACAAATCCAATGATATCAATCCAATGATGATTGTCTTATGTTAGATAATAATTTTTTGACTAATTTTGATTTTTTGCGACTAGTGTTTAACGGATATTTTGAATGTAACAGTTTACATGTAACATGTGACGTGTGTTAATATGTAACATGTGTTTATTTACGTGTAAATTCAGTTTCGAGTTTTCCCGTAAAAGTATAACACTATTTTATTGTTAACAGAAATGGGAAATTTGGAAAATGCAAGAAATGAGCGTATATAGTGTGCATCGTCTTCAAGAGATCTTCCAGAAATTCATACAAATGTGTGAGAAATATGCGTTACGGGTTGATTACTGGCAAGAACGTGACGGTAATGTTTTGACAAAATTAGACAAAGAACATATTCGTTTTTGTGCATCCCAAATGGTGAGTTTCTAATTTCATTAACTCAATTTCCATCACATATATTGCAAAATAATTACATATATTTTTGTACGTGGAGGCGAACGGTTTTATCACGAAAATTTATTTGATTACGGGTTAATGTTTTTCAATAAAACGATCGCCCCCGGCATGAATAAAAAATTAATTTCAGGACTACTTTGCAAAAATGGCGAGCAGTTGGTGCGATAGTCTCACCAGAGAATCTGTAAGGACTGGGTATCATCAACTGAGAATGTACGTGCGAAGATTAGAATATCTCACTGAAAACGTAAGTAATGTAATAAAGAAAGTGCTCTACAACAGGGATTCCCAACGTTTTTTTGTTCAGCGACACTTTTTAAAGGAATTGGTGGCTCCATCGGCCCCTTACATATATTACTTACCCCTCTGTAACCTATGGCATGTAATCAAAACAAAATTAATTTCCTAATAATATCAAGTTAACAATTTAAAAATTAATTTTGAATCGAGGCTGTGAAAAATCTGAAAATGGGATAGTGCATGGAGCTACGAATACGTTTTCCGGAATTGACTTAAACATTATATTTATTGCAATTGCAATGGTTTTGAATGCAACTCGTAAATAAAAGTATTTTAAAACTGTATGCACATGTGAATGAGAAAAGGTACACATCCAACAAAACTCAAACAGTTTCATAAGTAAACTATTATTTTCGTTCAATGAATAAAACATTGACCACGAGTCATACAAAATTCTTGTTTGAGCATTCCTGATATTTCACGCTTGTGCTTATTTGAACTCATTCAATATAATTATATAGTGACACTAAATAACAATTACCGTTTCATAGTCCGATCAATATGGAAAACTACCATTCTGAATATATCAAAATTTGAACCTAATGAAACAAAAATATTTTCTCTATTTACATTGTTGTGAAAAGCATTGGAAGTCAGGAAGTCCTTATTAATTTCAACTACATTCTCCCAGATTTTTCTTCCCTGGCCCTGTAATTCCCTCTTCACAGCTTGATCTTGAATGGCGATGCGAGGAGCCCCAACATTCGCCGAGCAACGCCCGTGTGCGCCGCCCCGCGCCGGGACCCGCTGACTCGCAGGGAGGAGGCCCCGTCTGCTTTCTGGAAGGCGACGTAGCAATCCTCTTCTTTAGTCTGCTATGCGATTCTGCTCTCGAAGTAGAGCGTTTGCAAACTAATTTCGTCAGTTTTTCTAAAATTACCGTTTGGAAATTATGGTTGGGCAGCGTAGCAAACTCGTCAATAGTTCCTGGCGGAATTTTCACTTCTGTTATTTTTAATTATTCACAACGATGGGTGCTACTCGCTCTTCTCTGGTTAGCCACAAGCAAAATGTTCATCGATGGATTGATAGGATAGTTTCAATTACTTGTAGCAAAACGCGTCGTTTGTGTTCGTCAAAACGTACTAACACGTTAATAGTTCAACCCTTCGTGCAAAAGGCAACTTTCGAGATCCTCACAGGTTAGCACCCTAAATATCGTACTACACCCTTATATTTTCTCGTCCTTCCCTTCTTCCCGTTTCTACGGGGTCGGCGTAATGCGGGCGGACTCAGTATTCTTTAATAATTTTCTAAACACACCATTTTCATTCTAATTTGGCGATGTTTTTTACGGCCGGATACCCCTCCTGACCTTCATTTCACATATTCGGAATGAAGACCTATAACAAATGATGGCTAAGTTTATGTAATTTGCTGCCATGTAATGGTGTATTGTTTGTCTCTTGTTCTAAAATCTGTAAAGTGGATTTTGGATGCCATTCGTTATTTTCAAATTTAAAATTCATATTCTTCTTCTACATTCTGTACATTTGGAGTATGTGTACTATATTCCACATCTAGCTTTCTTTAAAATAGCAATATTAATTTTCATGATTTGTTTCAGCCTCAAGATACTCTGCCAGATATTATTATCTGGTTACGGAAAAAGGGAGTTCGTTATGCCCTTACTCGAATATCAACTCGCCGATTGTTATATTCAGATATTCAGGGAGAGAGAGGTGATTTATGTGGGCGAGTTGTTACATTTTGCCTTCAGGTATGGATCTGTGCAATTTTCCTTTTTTGAAGCATCCTGACGCACAATTCAAATACTTTGCTCTGCATCAACTAGAACTATGCATTCTGAGGACAATAGCAGTCCGCTACTCAGGGACCCAGCAAGCGTTCGGAGCAAGACTGGGAAGGCCCTTGCCGCGCACGTGAATCGCGGCAATCAGTCGTCGGTCGCCCTCGGTCGCTTGGACCTGGGCGCCCAGCAATTTCCATGGATTCGCAAAATTATCAAGTGTTTCCAACACACAAAACTACCCATCCAATATCATGCGCGCTGTTCACTTTCACCTAGACACAATTTAATAACATTAGCTGTGAAACATAGGGTTAAAACCGTACAGCACCAGAATTACGTAGAAGAATGCAATGGAGATGAGAATCTCGAAAGAGCGCATGATCTTAGTAACCTTTATGAATAAACAACAAAATATTACAAGATTTTGCCATTGAAATTTTGACTACATTTTGCAAATATGAATCGAAATGTTTATGTAAAAGCTCATAACATTATTACATGTAAACTGTTATGTTCAAAGAATTGGCAGGATAAGTGACAACAAACAAAACTTCAGTAATAACTGATTTTAATTCCAGAATCCAAGTGTGATCCGTATACAAGCCGTTTTAGCTTTAATCGTCGTTATCCGTAATGCGTAATGCGCGGTTGACGTGGCTTCGTTACGCCCCATTACTGCGCCGCGTAGTAGGCCGTCCTCGAACCCAGGCTTCGTAGATAACCTTTGCTTGGGTTGCGAAGCATTGTAGAGGGCAACTATTGGTCCGACTCCAATCGGGTACTCCGTCTATTCGTCGTAGGTAGGCGACGAAATTCTCCGAGTCTTCTGACGAACTTCCTGCTGCTCGTGGCGAGCTCGTGCTCGAACTAGGACTAGTCGGACACTCGAACTGGCTAGTGCTCGGGGTGGCCCGCGTACTCGTATAAGGGCGCGCAGGTCATAGCGCGAGTCTAGGCTGTGAGCGCTCGCTGTTCCAAACCGAGAGCAGCTCGTCGGCCCGTTGCGGTGAAGCCCTTCCAGCTGGCAGAGCGCTGCTGTCGACGGAAGTGCGCCTTCACTTTGATTTATTATAGTGGCGCCTCAAGGTCACGAGGTGAAAGAAGAGGGGGTCATTGTCATCTAATCTTTAGCTCCAATACCAAAAATTTTAATCGTAACGAATCTTCCGATTCGATAACCCCTCTTCGCCAACTCGTGACCTTGAGGCGCCACTACGTCTAAATCGGAGTAGAGCGGCGAGAGGCGGAAATCGGCAGTGGCTGCTGCGCAATGAGAGGGGGCGACGCCGCCAGCCGCTCCAGTGGCCCCGGGCGCATAAACACTGACCAAAGTCCACCCCCAAAGTCATAAATGGCAGAATTTCCAAAAGTATCTGCAGACGCATTTATTAATACAAGGTCAAGTTGCTCCACGTGAGGATTTCGGTAACGGCAGCGCGCATGAAGAGAAGAAGTTCGAACTGGCCCCGCACCCCCTCGGTCTGCAGCGCTCGTCCGGACGCAACGGTGGCAGAAAGCGTTCGAACGTCCTCAGCTAGGAGGCAGCTAGGAGGCCGGGCGGTTGCGGGCGGTTGTCTTTCCACAGAGTGCTCACGCACGGACACACGCGTCGCAGAAGTGCTGCGTGGAATCATAGAAGGGAATAAAACACCTTGCGTTCCACCATACGATGAATCTCCACCATGCGTTGAATGGTGAAGGACCGGTGAGGTGGTGAGCGGTGGCACCGTTTTCCTGCTTTCAGTCGCACCGTCCGCTTCCGTATATGCGTCGGGACCGCGCCGACACTTACGCTGACGAAGTCACCCTTTCTCTTCTACCTCTCAACGCAGCCAAGCGTGTGGTTTGATTACCTTACTATTTGACTATTCTTAGTAGAATCATAAAGGAACTAACAAAGCTTTTTTGGCAAAATTTGAAAATCAGAAATTTTTGCTCTCGTGTAATAGAAAACGTGTTTGAATCATCAAACGAAATAAAGATTCGGTTTTGTAGAATTGCTGGCAAAATCGTGCCTTGTGGCCATTCTTCTAACACAACTACCAAAAAGAGAACTCAACAAAACGTGCACATATGCCAAGCTACATCTACAGTCCAGTAGCGAAGCAGGTTGCATCTCAGCATTTGCTCAGTGAATCAAGGAAAACTGGACCAAACCTGATATTGATGGTTCTGAGCTGCAGCACTTGGGTCGCTGCAACGCAGAGTATTTGAATTGTGGTCGCAGAAGCCAAGGTTCCCCCAAAATGGCAATTTTCGATACGAAATCGATTGCACTGCACTGCGTCAAATAATACTTAGAATCTCCATTATTTTCGTGGGTTCAGTTAAGAGATCAGGTATGTATGACGCTGTGCTGCGCAAATAGCAGGCCGTCGCCATATTGTTGCTTGAACTGTAGGTGCCAGGACGGACGTCGCAGGATAAAAACTGCTGTGCGTCTTTTGAAATGCTTCTGTGGCTGAGCTCCAAAGCGTCGCATTCTCAGTGGATAAATATGCTCCCTCCTGGAAGAGACGAAATATCAGTAGAAGAAGAAAAGAACTTTACAGAGGCATCTGAGGAAATTAAAGCTATAAAATACGAACGCCATCTGGTATGTAACTTATTTAACTTTTTAAAATATTTTTTATATATTTAGACTGCGAAACTAGGTATCACATGAATAGAAAAGTTCCTCCACTACAGGAAATTATGGGCAATATTCACATAAAGTTTCTCGATACCATACGTCTTAATGATGGTGTATTTGAAATGAAAATTCTACTTACCCACAAACACTGAACTTTATTCACAAAACATTACACACTTTAAGCACTTCGCCTTTAAGGTATATTTGCGATTTCACAAGTGACTTCCTGAGCACTGCTTCCAACGGCATGTTCTTCTTCACGACAAACGAGAGACATGGCGCGAAATGTGTAACGTCTTAAAAAACTATTTGAATTCTCACAAATTTTGTCCCTCGTTGAAAGTTTGACTTTCAACAGAATAACAGTCATATTAATAATGCCGATTACTTATTACCAACAGATATACAAATGGGCTAAATGTGCTGATTACATACAATAATTAAATACAATAATACCTGAAAAATATATTTATCCTTATAATAAATCTATCTTGGTTAGTAAGTCCTCCTAAGTCCTGTTTCTGTCGGTAAAAGGCAAATTTTTCGTACTTACGGGGAAGGCACCTTCAAGAGATTATACTGTGGGCACTTTGACTTCAGCGCCTCGTCCGGGATGCATTTAAATTTCATCTCTTTATCATCTCAGTGGTGGTTTTTCCTCTATTCTAGTTTTTTAATGTGACGTCTCAAGGTCACGCACGAAAAAGGGAAAGGGAAGGCAGACTCCAATAGGGAGCAGTAAAAGTGAGACCTGTAGTGACCTTTAGATGCCTCTTCGATATTTGCCAGGTATCGGTCACTCCGATGCACTGATTGGTAGTTTGCCACTTTTCAACATCAGAAAATATCCTCTTATTCATTGTTGTCAATCTCGTCGCACTTTTCACATGCTGCATTCGTCACAAAGGACTGGGTGCCTTTACTTCATCGTTTTACTACATACTTGGTAAAGAGAACGTATTGTAATGTTGCGGCAGAAATCAGCAATTTTTCAACAGAATTTCGAATTCGGAATGTGGGGTCGTAATGTAGAAAACTTAGACAAATCTTGCTCCTGTATGCCAGGGCTCACCACTTATTCGCTTCGTGGGTCCATGGCCAGATGCCCCCGGTTCTCAGCGGACGGCTGAGACCCAGCAGGAGCGCTGTGAGAATTTTGTTTCTAGGACTTTTATCCAACCGACAGTTTGTTACCCTGGGACACATGATTGACCATACACTGGACACCATCACACTTGCGGGCTTCTCTGATCTGGGTTAACAAAACGCTAGGTCCTCTGCGCCAACACATACATGATAGACAAAGTACAAACATCCATGCCCAAGGCGGAACTCGAATTCACAATTTTTCGGACCGAACTGTTGTCGGTACATGCAGTTAGCCACCTCAACCACCCATGTCGGCTTGTGAATAATTTAAAGAACAAATTCATCGGACACTTCACTCTGTCACTACTCGCGCCATACTACGACTATGTATCGTACGAAGACCACACCCACGGAAGCCTACGATATCCGACACCAAAACACTAATTGTGACTCTCTTCGGATGGTTTTTCTTGCCTGCTCTGACACAATAACAATAATTATACATACAATCATATCAACGAAGATATTTCAATCGATAACTACGGCAAAATTTTCGAATAGCAAACTTCAATTATTATTTATTATTTAATGCAACTAATTCATAATGTTAAAATAAATTGTCATATAAGTTAATTTTTGAAACTTTTTATGACGTCACGGATATTCACATATATGCGTAAAAGCGGTGGTCGGGTCTTCGATTTACGTCCCCATCTTCCATGATTCTGTCACATAATAGATATATAGATAGATAGGTTGATAGATAGATTTATTAAAGTTTGCTTTGAGCTAATGCTCAGTGACAAACATTATTACAATTAGAATTAGAACAACTACAAAACCATTACATATATGTACAATTAGAATTACTATTAGAATTAGAGGTTGATATCCTAATTCTAATTAATTTCTAGTTTTGTATAAACTGACGTTTAGTTAATCTAACACTTTACTACACTACACTATACTACATTTCACTTCATTGTATAAGGGAAATTGCAATAATAATAATAATAATAATAATAATAATAATAATAATAATAATAATAATAATAATAATAAATGTATCAGTAATTTTTGTAATGATCTAGATGGAATGAAGCATATTTTTAAGATACTATTAATTACTATTAATACTAGATCTGATACTATTAATACCACAGTATCTATTCTGTGATACGGTCGGCTGTCCGGTTTACCGCCACCTCTTACGATTTGCTTGTTGCGATTGGCTGAATGTTTGATGAGGCAATTATTCGTGCCATAAATAAGTCAAAATCTGTGCCATGAAATGACATTTTACGAACGATTTCCTGCATCAAAGTAAGTCGTTTGTAATGCTGATGTATAAAAACATATTTATCTAAGTGATATATTAGAAACTGTCTCAAATTACGAGGTTGCATAGGTATGCCAATCTGGTACTAATTCTCATTTACGATTCACTTGTAATATTATTTTCTCCTTCAAAAGAAATGCAAAACATTATAGGATTTCTTGTTTCATTAATCCTATCCCAATGCATTAAATTCCAAAGCAAAAATTAGAACCTGACAAAACAATAACATAACGAGAATTTCTTTTCTTGCTATTATGCCCGCCGCATGTTCCTCACAGGCGTACGCATCATACTTTGAAGTACAATTGAGCATGTAATGCTTGTAATGTTTTCATTAAAAAAATTTAGCAACCATAAACAGACACCTCTCTTGATGCTGGTACCTATTCCCCTCCGAATGCTGGTGGAAGTTCTTGGCTCCCGATCTGGGTCTCCCTTCCTGGTGGCCCTTTCTTACATGTCGTAAATTACGTTCGCTAACAAATGTGAACGAATGCTGTCCCTTTAAATCATATTGTATTTTTGTTTGCGTTTAGTTTTGAATGCCCCGTAGGAGCGACTGTTTTTAATCTTCAATAAGTTTTTTAGTGATTACAACCAATAACAGAGAGGCGCGAGTTCTCAGAACTAAATATGAAAAAATCGAACCCATAATGTATTTTGACATTTGTGTTATTATTGAGTTTCATTATTTTACCTCAACTTTACTATATTTTTCAGTTCTTTGAAGTTCGGGCGTATCTCTACCAAGCACGAATTTTCGGAGGAGCGGATGTGACTGGGCTGTGTGACCCGTTTCTGCGAATTTCAATTAGAGATACATGCAAAATATCTCAGGTAGGAAATAAAATATAATTATTCTGAATAATTTACATACTTAGTAATAAATGAATAATAGTAAATACAATAAAATATGTACAGTAAAATTACAAATTAAAAAGTAAAATACGTGATATATATTGAAACGAAGAACGTTTCTGTAATTAGAACAGTTACAATGATCACCAATTATAAATTAA